CACGGACACATCCTCGGACGGCAACGAGGCTGTGGATGCCCAGCTGGAGGAGCGCCTGTCCCACCACCTGACGGGCTTGCAGCAGGTCCTCACCCACCTCACCAGGGACACCAACGCCCTCACCCGGAGGTACAGCCAGATCCTGGAGCAGATCAACCTCAGCGAGGGGCAGCCCAGCTGGTGATCCTGTCCTGGCCACCAGGTAAGAGCTGAGGGGCCACAGAGCTCAGGGGCAGCAAGGCAAGGGGTGGTGTCCCTGGAGAGGTCCCCAACACTGCAAAGGGGTGGGAAGCTCCTGGGAAGGGCCTTGAAAGGGGGGCTGTCCCCTCAAATGGGGGCAGGTACCCATCTCCATGCTGCAGAAGTGGGCACATCCCATCCCTCCAGGCAGAGACTCCAGGGGTTCAAGGTCTGTGGACCCAGGGTTGGTGGACTATATGTCTGCCGGGAATGACCCTTGGAGTTAAGGACGGCTGCCGTTGCAGGACGGGTGCTGGTGTCAGGAAGCAGAAGACGTCCCATCGCTGAACATCGCAGGCTCCTCCCCACTCCCACTCGCCCTCCTCGCACCGTGGCAGCTGATCTCCCAGGGCTGGCACTGACACCGGAGAACCAGATGCTGCCTTATCCTCATAGGAAGAAGCATCTGGCTGTGCTGGGAACTCCATTGGAAGAGCTGCAGACTCGTGCCCTCCTCTTTATTTTCAAAGAGCAGGACGAAGGTGGAGGTGTTGTGCGACGGCCCCAACCTCCAACAGTCCCTTGCAACTGCCAAGCCCTTTTCCAGCTGGTACCTGGACTCCAAGGGTATTTCCCCCAGTCTTTGCTAATAAAAGAAGCCCTGTGAAGCCATTTGTCTGTGTGGTGCTTTCAACTGGCTGGGGCTCTCATGGAGTGCCCCAGCGTGGGGTAGGGAGACACTGGTTCTGTGGGGAGGGAACTTTCCCGGGCAATGATGGGGAATTTGAAGGGACAAAGAATCACAAAGTCCTGGGATGGTTTGGGTTGAATGGGATCTTCACAGATTGTCTGGTGAAATGCCCTGCTCTGTGCTGGGCCATCCTGCACTAGACCAGGTATCTCAGAGCACTCTGCAACCACAGGGCACATGCGACCTGGCTGGGCGACCTGTTCCTTTATCTCAACAACTTCAGGCTGAAAAATTTCTTCCTTGTGTTGACAGCAACACCAGTAAAAGCCGGTGCTTGATTTCTGCGCACAAGAGAGCGTGAATCTGTCCAACGCTCAGCCCAGTCATGCGACACTGAGGGGCAGCAGAGCTGTAGCTCAAAGCAGCTCTGGAAGGCAACCGGCCCCGGGACCCCAGCCCCATGTCCAGACACAGAGCTTTGGGATACACTGGAGATTCTCATCTCCTGTCGCCTGATCTCCCAGCTGCTGAGACCACATTGACTTTGGCTTGTCCTGCCCGAGCATGGGCAGCAGGGAAAGGGTGTCCAGCCAGCTGGGGTTGAGTGAGCAACTGTGGGGCCCAGGGACTCTGGAGGGGGCAGCTGGGGCCCAGATCCAGAGCTGCCTCGCATCTGAAAGGGTCCTGGTCAGATTCAAGAGAGGACAAGGACAGTTTCAAGGGGCTTGGGGCAATCAGAGTCATGGCGATCTGTCAGCAGGAGGTGCTGGGGACAACGTGGGATCATTTGGAGACACATGTGGTGACATCTCCCCCTCCTGAGCTGTGGCTTGGGATCCCCATTGCAATGCCACCTCCAGGTGGGGCATGATGGAGCACTGCCTTTGGAGCTCCTCTGCCCCCAGGCTGATTGCAGAGCCGGATGTTGAACCATAAGGAATGGATGGACATTGGTTCCCAGTGAGGTGAGGACAACAAAGGATGCTATGTCCCTCTGGTGGTCTACCTGTCTGGAGCTCAAGAGTGGGGATCTGTGTCTCCTGGAAAACAAGGCCAGCTGTGCTGGTTTTGCTGGGGTAGAGTTAATTTTCTTCACTGTAGTTGGTATGGAACTATGTTTTGGATTTGTGCTGAACACACAGTTGATAATACACAGTTGTTATCACTGACATTGCTTGCACAGCGCTCAGGCCTTTTCTGTATTTTGTACTGCCATGCTGATGAGGAAGCTGGAGGAGCATGGGAATCTGGGAGAAGACACAACAGGGACAGTTGTGTGGTGATCCCAACTGATCCAATGGATATGCCATACCATATGACATCGTGCTCGGTATGTAAAGCGGGAGGAGGAAGAAAGAAAAGGGGGATTTTTGGAGTGATTGTGTTTGTCTTTACAGGTCACTTTTACCTGCGATGGAGCTCTGCTGTCCTGGAGATGGCTAAATCCCTGCCTGCCCATGGGAAGTGGTGAATGAATTTCTTGTTTTGCTGTGTGTGCAGGATGGCTTTTGCTTTCCCTATTATACTACCTTTATGTCAACCCATGTGTTTTCTCACTTTCACCCTCATCCCACTCGTAGTGGGGTGAGTGAGCAGCTCTTGGTGGTTCTTGGTGCCTGGCTGGGGTTAAGCCATGACAGTGCCACAGTGAGGAAGGCCTGCAGTCACCTCCAGCAGTGGCTTTGGGCTCGGGCAGCATGCTCAGCAGCTGGAGAGGCTCGTGGTGCTCTAGCGAAGTGTCATACCAGGAATAGGATGAAGCACTCCCCATCACTGTTGAACACGACCAGTGACAGACGCGAGATGTTCCCAGAAAAGGTCTGTGCCCTGGCACAGCTGGAAGGGCTTGCTGACGTCTTCTGCACCACTTGCAACCCCCCAGGACTTGTGGGTCTGTCTCTGAGAGCCGCTGTCTGCCCAGCTGGCCCCGACCCCGGTGTGTCACAGGAACCTTCTGCCTGCACCGATTGCAGGGCATTGCGTCACACTGCCCCAGGGATGCGTCAAGCCCTCAGGATGCCCTGCTGCTGCTGAACACCCCTGCTGGCCACAGCTGATAAGAGATGTTAGATGGCCACAGGAAAGGTCTTTGTCCTGGAAAAACCCAGGGCTGGTCCCAGCGGGATGTTGGCAGACGGGGCAGATCAGGCCGTCTCTGGCCTGGCAGGGGATGCTGGCTCTGCGCTGCCCTGGGCAGGCTCCCGGGGCACCCGCACTGTCACCATCCACCACGGGGAAATATGTTTTCTGTTCATATCGTTGAAGCAAATCAGGATGGCAACACTTCCTTTAAATCTGTTTAGGGGCATCAAAGCCAGCAGAGAGCAGTGACCTGGGCACAGAGGCTCAGTGTCAGGAAGACAAGAGAGAAAGTACAGCTTTGACCCAAAATGTCAAAAGAATGAGAAACCCCAAGTTCCCTTCTCTAACCAGGCCCAAGAAGTCCTAATCACACAACCACCCACCCCCAAGGATGGGGGGCTGCCAGCATCCCCACCCCTCCCGCAGGGCAGGTTTCCCATCTGCACACCCCTGCCTTTCAATTTGGGGTGCTCTGGTCTCGGCTGTACCTCCTGCTGCTGCCTATTGCCTGCTCAGGGAGATGCTGGAGGAAAGAACCTCACAAATTCACGCTTGGACCCCCCAGGTCTGGCTCTGCTGTCAGCCGAGTTGGCTGTGAGCCAGCAAGGTGTCCTCAGGCAAAGATAGTGGAGGGAGGGGATCCTTCCCTTCTGCTCAGCCCTGTGAGGCCTCACCTGGAAGTGCTGTGTCCAGTTCTGGGCTCTCCAGTACAAGAGAGACACGGATGTACTGGAGCAGGTCCAGTGAATGGCTGTAAAAGCGATAGAGGAGTTGGGCCATATTCCACATGATGAAAGGCTGAGACAGCTAGGAGTGTTCAGAGTGGATAAGAGAATGCTCAGGGGGATCCAATCAGTGTTTATGATGAAGGTGGAGAGGATGCAGCCTGAGAAGATGGAGCCAGATTGTTCCCAGTGGTGTCCAGTGACAGGATGGTGAAGGGCACAAACTGAAACACAGGACATCCCATCTAAATGTGAGAAAAACTTCTTTTTGTTCCTAAAACTGAAGATAGTAAACATCATCACAGGCTGCCCAGAGAGATGGCAGAGTCTCCATCCTCAGAGATATCTGATTTCCAACCTCTCCAGTCGCTGACCCTGCTTTAGTAGTGTTTGGAGCAGATCAGCTCCAGATGTATCTTCCATCCTCTTCAGTGCTGACTCTGGCTCTGTCCCTGCTCAGGAGTTGGCTGCAGGCTGCTCACAGCACCCAACAGGGAGGATGCTCTGCCAGGCCTGCTTGGAGTCTGGGATACCAGCACGGCTGCTTTGGACTGGGTTCGACAGGTTTTGACTCTTGTCCAAGGACCTTCCCTCACACTTGGAACTTTCATGCCTCTCCTCTGGCTGACATCCTCTCAATTTTAAAAGTCTTTTTTTTCATTCTCTGGTCACCATTTAATCCTGATGGTCATATTACTCCTTAAATAACCAGTTTGGGGAAAATACCCTTCAGACAAGTATCACCTGTTCATTATCACCTTCCTCTTTTAGCAGGGGTTGTTCTCAAGGCCAGTTGCCATGGTTGGGCTGGGTGAGACCCCCAGACCAGCCCTGAAGAAGTTGGGTTGCCAGGCAGGGCACATAAGGGACTCCCCCTCTCTGGATAAACCCATCACTTTTTCTCCTTCCCCCCTCCTCAGAAATGCCCAAATCAAGGCAGCTTTGCCTAAAGCCTGCCTGCACTGGGGGAAGGTGCTGGACTCACTGTCCCAGGCCTTCAGGAGTGGTAAGGATGGTGGTTACAGGACAGGATGAGACAGTACATGAGAGACCCCAGGCACCTCCTCTTCTCACTGTCCTGGTCACACCATGGGGATGCAGTGGGACCCCTGGCCAGCTTGGGTGAAGGCCACAGGGAGGCTGGGTCAGGAGAGATTGCACAGGGACACAGTGTAGCCAAGCCCCAGCTGGGGTGGAGCCAAGCCTGGCCCTGCAGCCATCCAGCCTGGATGGGGCTGGCAGGGGAGGACAGCATTGGACAGCAGAGGAGGGACGTGCCTCAGGGATGTGCCTCGGCACTGCATAAAAAGCCCCCATCGGGGACGGGGAGCAGGACGGGGAGAAGAGCCCAGAGCAGCGCTGCCAGAGCTGTGGGAGAGAGGCCATGGAGCAGTACTTCTCAGCCACCCAGAAGATGGAGCAGGAGGTGATGTTCCCCAGCTTGCTCCGAGGGGTCTTCCCGCAAGAGGAGGGGGCGGCCCTGGCCGCAGGCAGCCACACAGACCTCTATGAGCGCTACCAGCTGCTCAAGTCCATCAAGCCCATGGTGGAGAAAGGCCTGGCCTCTGTCAACGACCAGAGCCCGACTGGCACTGACGCTGAAAAAGCTTTAGATGAGGGTGCAGACAGCAATCTGGAGGAGCGCCTCTCCCATCATGTCAACGGCTTGCAGCAAGTTCTGACAGACCTCACCAAAAACACCAAAGCCCTCACCCGGAGGTACAGCCAGATCCTGGAGGAGATCAACCTCAGTGAAGATCATTCCAGCTCTTGAGCCTGCACTCCCTGCCTCCGAGGTAAGAGCCTGGGGACACAGAGTGCCGAGGAGGAGCTGGCTGAGGGGTAACATACTCTTCCTTATGCCCCGTCAGCTGTGTGGCTTTTCAATGTTTGCATCACATCCCCAAATCCCAGGACTTCTGAGTCTGCACTTCACTGCTCAACAGATACATTCTCCTGTATTTGTCTTTCTCAACTGCTCACTAATGCAAAATGCACCACTGAACAAAGGCCACTCTGTGAGCTCCACATTGTTCCCAAGACTCCCCAGTTTACAGCATAGGCAATATCTTGCTGCTTCTGGGCAAACACAAAAGGTCCCAGGGACAAAAGTGATGTGTGATTGGTGGACCCTGAACTCTGGACTGCAGGAGCTGCCAGGCACTGTTGCTCCATCTGTTTCTCTTTTTTCTCTAATTGAAAATGTAACAGAGTCATTTTTTGGGAGGAATTTGGCACTTTCATGTCTCCAAATATCTAACTTTGATACATCACCTGCAAACAGCTTAGACACTTCAATCTTGTCCCAGCCGAAAAAGCAAACCCATTCTCCATGCTGGTGGGACTTTCATCCCTGAGACCCCTTGGGTAGACATCCTTGTGCTCCATCAGACAGGGCTATGGCCAAGATCCTTGTAGTGAAATGGAGAGTGTAGAAAGGTGACAGTAACAACAGAGGACATTAACAGGACTTTACAGTGTTAACCCTTGCTTAGGAGGAAACACAGCCAGGAATGAGGACATCATGACCAAACCATGTGCATTATCCCCACAGGGTGATCTGTTGTCTGCAGCCCAGTGGCACTTTTTTTCCTGCGCCAGGTCCCACTAAGGAACGCCCTTTGTGAGCAGTGCAGAGCTTGGCCCGTACCCGCCGAGCACTGCCCGTACCATCCGACTCGTCCTGTGGCTGATCCTGCCAGCAAGCCTGCTGCTTCATTTCACTCCTGTCCCAGGGGGATTTCTGCAGAGCGGAAATGAGTGTTTTGTGTTGTTGCTTTGTGGAAGGCAGCTGTAACTTTGAAGAGATGCCTTTTTCTGTGTGTGCCTAATCCTGCCCCCCCGCAACTGGTCTCTTTGATAATGTAAATGAAATGTAAAGCCTTGTGCACATGTGTCCTGTGTTTCCTACCAGCTGTCACTTCTGTATAGCTACTGTCCCCCAGCCCATGAGGGTGACAGGACCTTGACCAACAAGGCCAGGGTTCAGTGCGGGGAGGTGAGCTGGGTTTCTCTGTCAGAGAGTGGGACTTGTATTTGCCTTGGGATGGATGTTCCCCCAGCCCTCTGTTTCTCACACCTTGTAAAACCTTGGTGTAATCCTGCCACCACCCTGTGCTCTGTGCTGGGATCCCAACCTGCTCCCCAGCATCCTTCCTTCCCTTCCCTAACATCCTATTCTCTCCTGGATCCCCAACTTATCATCTCCCCAGTACAATCAGTGACTGCACATCCCATCCCATGGCCTATACTCACCCAGCTCCTCATACCCAGCACCATCTTCGCTACACACAGTCCTGTGGACAATCTGTCGCAATCCTCATTGGCCCCAGCAAAACCCAGGGTGCAATTCTGCCTTCTCCCTGCTTGTCCATGACACACTCTGGAGCCAGGAGCAGAGGAGGAGGTGGGGATGCTCAGCTGGGGTAAGTAGGAAGGCAGGACTTTGCTCGCCTTCAGTCCCTGTGAGCTGTGGTGAGACCAGGGGCAAAGCCCTCGCTGGGTGGGTGGGCAGAAGCTGCAAGCTCTTCATAGGCAAGTTGGAGCCTTCAGTACAGACTGGGTCCCACCTCCAGGTGACTCCTTCTCTCCCAGACACCACCCTTGGGAAGTTCTACCGAGCTGGGCACTAGAGGGAGGTGTTCCCTTGCCTGTTCAGGACATTTTAAAACAAATTCATGTCTTGAAATAGCACTGCTTTGGCTGAACAAACACTGGTCCTCCAGCATCCTTCCACTTTTGATTAAAAAAATGGAGATCTCCGAGGATCTGTGGTGAGAGGATGATTGTGACCATGCCCTGTGCTGCAGGCTCCAGTTGTGTTGCGTGTTGCTAATATGCTCTCTGAATCTGCCATATCACGAGTGAAATAACATCCTTCATACTGAAATGAGAGACTCATCAGCTCTAAAAGTCTCCACCTAAAATTAACAGATGTTCTGCAGATGGTACCCTGTTTCCTCTGATCTCCTGGAAGCAGCTCCATGCCTTGATCACCTGTTCATGTTCATGGTAACCCCTTTAGTGAGGCTCTGATTGCTGAGCAGCAACTGAAAGTCCACAGGACTGTAAAGAATGAGAAAAGCAGGAACTCCATCCCTTGCTTTTATTTTAGTGAAGATCTAATTGCACAGAAAATAACAGAGAAAATTTCCCCAAAGAGAATAAGGCATTTCTGAAAGAGTGTGAACATTGGGAAATGCCCTGCGAGCTAAGCTGAACATGATATAAACATGGGAAAGAAGTCAATGAATATGGGTACAAGGAGAATAATTTAGTTTCTTGGGAATGTGGGCACTGATGGTCTTGTTGGGTTGTTTTAACAAATGGCAATATGAATGGTTAAATCTGTATCCCAGGGGTGCCTCCCCCCATTCATTCATTGGAGATGGAGCACACACTTAGTTGGCCAGCAGACATTTTGCTTCCTTGGCTTCTGATGGTGTCCTGGGGCCTGTCCAAAGCCAGCTCAGATCTCAGATACAAGCCATCAACCATGCATTCTGAAAAGGTGGGTGGAGCTGATAAATGTCTGGAAGGCCTCAGGTAGGAATGTCTACGGTGTTTGTACAGCACATGGTGTTTGATTTAGGAGTGGCTCCTGAACTGCAGAGTCACCAGCCCAGCTGCAATTCCTGAGCAGATCTAAATCAAACTGCTGATGGTTTTGCTTTACAGTAAAATTTTCACAAATTGTGCAGGCTGGCCACAGGTCACCAGAGCAACCCAGCAATTTTCAGGAATCGTAGAATATCCTAAGTTTGAAGGGACCCACAAGAATCAATGAGTCCAACTTGTGATCCTACACAGAACAACCCAAAAAATCACTCCATGTGCCTGAGAGCATTGTCCAAACACTTCTTGAACTCAGACAGGATTGGTGCCATGACCACTTCCCTGGGGAGCCTGTTCCAGCGCTCAACCACCCTCTGGGTGAAAAACCTTCTCCTAATATCCAACCTGCTATCCAAGCCACAACTTCTCTGGGCAGCCTGTGCTGGTGCCTCATTACCCTCTGAGTAAATGTACGTACCAGCGCAGAGATGTTCCAGCTCATTGTTATCTACAGATTTATAAGATTATGTTATGCACAATTTATAGAATTTTACAAACTTGGTAACTTAAATCATATCTTTCATGAAAAGGGGGCAAAAAATTCAACAGTGGGTAATTTGTAAAGCAGGACTGAAAAATGTCATCTTAAAGCAAGTCATCTGGTTGGTGGGATTAAAGGGTAAAAGTCAGATTTTTCACATACATAGTGACTTCTAGTCAAAATACTTTACAGACTTCCAGGCCGTTCTTTGTCCCATAATGTGCCAGAAAAAGTAGCCAAGTTATAAAAAAGGAGCAAAAGAGCAGGGGGACCGGACCAGCATGTTCATCACACTGAAGGACAAGCCATGGTTGGTCTAGCAGTAGAAAAGAGTTGTGGACATCAGCTAACAAATATTCTTTCACTGAAGTGCTAAGGATCTCTGTAGTAGCATTGAAGGTTTGGCCTCAAATGCCATTAGCCACCCTTGATTCTGATTTGGGGAAACCTTTCAGATGAGCTTTTGAACAAAGTAAACTAATTTCCTGCTCTTTACCCTTCCCTACTGAAAAGCTTGAGTGAGGAGAGAGGTGAGGGTCCACCTGTCTATCCAGTTCTGTAGCTGCAGAAGGAAAGGTTATGACCTCCAGCATCAAAGATGTGATGGACGTGAACTCTGTCAGGATATTTTCTGAAGCACCTAAATTAACCAGCCCGAAGAATAGAATTTACAGGAATCAAAGGCCCAGAACATGTGGATCTTCCAGTTCTCCCTCTTTTCCAATAAGCCAATTGATTCCAATTGATTTTTTAAAATTTATTACAAGTCACAAAACCTGGGCTCCCAAGCAGACCTCATTAGTGAATCCAGTACTATCACTTCTGCTGGTCTGGCAAAGGGAAAATTCAAACCTTTCTATTCAAAGCAGCCAAGATACCTCAGACATAGGTTATTACTGGGGATTCCTTAGGATTTGGGTTTGATGACAGGTTCACCTAAATGCACAAAACATTGAAAAGAGTCTGAGTCCAGCTTTGCTGGAGCCCTTGGTGAGGACAGACTTTATTCTCAAGGTGAGTGAATCAATGCAAATTCTAACTCTTTTTTCTCCCTGCCTCAACCTCCTGCTCACCTTAATGCTGTCTTCTGGGAGGATACAGACCCAGCAAAATCCCAGGAGAACTCAAAACAACAAAGCTGGTGTCCATGAGCACGATGAAGATTTCGTGCCAATTATTTCCTTGTATATCACACTGTTGATTTTCATGATTAATATCTCCCCCTGGAAGATTTTTAGGAAGCACTGTATTTGTCTGAGATTTTCCCTTTTGTTGCTCGTACCAAGAAGCAGCTTGAAATGAAAGACAGTGAGGCAAGGTTGGTAGAGGAGGTAACACCTTTTATTAGACCAACAGAAACTGAAAAAAAAAATGGAAAAAAACCCAAGCAAGGTGAAACAGAATCTGACATACCTAAGAAGCAGCCCTGAGAATGGCTCATGTGCCCTAACGCCTGGATGGTTTTATCCATCTGTGTCAGCTGATCTAATAAAAGATGTTGTCTCTCATTACAAACATTAAGTTACATCTATACCACCATAATGAAGTAAAGACACAGAAGTGATGAGTGGCCTGAAGACAAACTTGAAAGCACCAGTGCCCTTGGAAACACCTAGAATAAAACAAAGGAGATTCTGAAGGGCTGTGGTCTAGTTCTGGAGAGGTTATTTAGGCTCACTGATTTGATACTCTGCATTTAATAAATTAACAAAGACATAGATTCATCATAGAATCACAGTTTGGGTTGGGTTGGGAAGGAACCTTAAAGATCATCTAGTTCCAAACCCCCCTGCCATGGGCAGGAACACCTTCCACTAGACCAGGTTGCTCAAAGCCCCATCCAATCTGGCCTTGAACACTTCCAGGAATGGGGCAACCACAGCTTCTCCTGGCAACCTGGCCCAGTATCTCATCACCCTCACAGTAAAGAATTTCTTTTTACATCTGATCTAAATCACTCCTCTTTTAGTTTAAAACTGCTCCTCCTTGTCCTGTCACTTTCTGCCCAAGTAAAAAGTCATTCTCCCTCTTTTTTATATGCCCCCCTTTAAGCTTTTACAAGCCCATTTGCAGTACATCCTTGTGAGTGTTTTGATGTTGTAACAAATAGTTTCATTATCACTAAATCTATGGTGCTGTTCACATTCTATATTTGGTGGATATAGGATATTAGAAAACACTGTCATGCAAAGATAATAATCAAATATTTATGACCAGTTGAAAAGAATAGTTCAGGCTCAAGCAGAGATTTCAGTTTGGTTTTATTTATCTTGCCCAAATTACTCAGTGCCCAGTGACTGTATGGGTGAGAAAGAAAATGCCACCACCTTGGACAGGTTGTAGACACCCTGATCTGTCGTCAATGGGAATGACAAATGGGATCAATGAAATGGTTTGGGATAAACTGTGCCTTAAAATAGCAGCTCATGGAGGATAAAAAGCTGCAAAAATGTTTACTGGGAAATGCCAGGTTTGAGACAATCAGTTGTCGAGGCAGAGGCAGACACACAGGCACACATTGCGGGGCTCCTTGTTTGGAATGGATTGTTTGGCACTTAGTCACCACACCGATAGCATTGCAGGAGGTGTGTGCTGGCAGCCAGCCCAAGTCCACCCTGCACCTTGCTGGCTGCCAGAAAACTAATGAGCAAATACTTCCGCTTTCAAGCTGTTCCCTCCCCTCTGCCTACACCTGCAACTAGTACCAGGGCTGTGGCCAGAGCTAACTGGAGCCTGCGGGGCAGCAGCTGGGTTGGGAGCGTGGAAAAGCTGACCCAACAAAGACCAAGTGAAAG